AAACAATTTTTGAAAATCCAAATTTTTTTCTTCCAATTTTTCCTTTTTTTTCCCTTTCAAATGTTTGACAACCGAAAATACGTATGATCCAACTAAGCATTAGTAGGTAAGGTGCCACAATTGTCTAAACCATAAATTTGAACAAGGAATATAAAAAAATAGAAGAAATTAAATTTTGATCGTATAATTTAAAATAATTTTTGAACCCTCTTTAGCATTACGCCTAAAGTTTCCCTTATTCAACGAAAATTTGTTCTTCGGAGACTCTGGCATATTTAGCCAGCGGACCCTCTTTACATCAAGGGAATTAAAAGCCCCATATATACAAAAGGTTTATATTTAGTAGTATATTATTTACACGATATATTCCAACTAAACGATTCACCTAAACCTCCTTTTCTAATACTTGTTAGCTCACTATTTTATGAATAATAGTAATAGTAATAACAAATTAACAATACGAGTCGAATTATCACATATATAGTTGATGAGCTAACAACAACGTAAATTTATGACGAAATTCTTATTTAACTCAAACAAACCTAGTTAGACCATTAACGAGCAACATTTATCACTCGTACCTACCAACAGGATTAATATTTTTGGCTTTTATTTTCTAATAATAGTTGCATTGCTGGTTTGCCAAGTGTCAGTGGTAGGGGAAATTGGCACGGACAATAAATATCCTCCAATTAATTAAATTAAGTTTCAGTTTCTGCCCGACCAATTTGGTCACAATTCAGATTTCAGCCTACCCATTACATGCATCTTACGTTATGCTATATACCAAATTTAACATCTAAATTAATGTGATTTCAATTCAAAGACAGAGGTGATGAAAAATAGCCAAACATTAAATCAAACCCATAAATCACTTGGATCCACCTGGGCCCACTATCTTGATATATGAAAAATATCTACCTCAAACGATTTTTCTAGAGTAATTACTCACATACTATAAAGATGGTGACAGTTTTATAAATAATCCTTATATAAAAAATATATTTCCAAATGCACAAAATTATATATATGATTCTATGACTATTTCATCAACTTTTTGGACAATTTCCCTATATGAAACGTATAATATGTAGTACACATGTTATTGGTTTAGTTCAATTTGCCTCAAACTTTATTATATTTAATACCAAATCAAATCAATTATATTATAGTTTTAATTTAACATCAACTAATGCCAGATCAAACCACATATCTGTTTTCAAGGTCAGTTTAATTTGCAAATACGATCCATATTTTAGTTTTTTGCGAGAAAAGAAAGAGAAAATATGACGCTTCAAAGATTTCTTGATATTGTAAAATATCTTATTTTATTGATTTTTTATAGATGGAGTCGTATAATTAAAATTACGTTTGTGATAAATTATACAAAATCAAATATGTTAATATTCAGTTCCAATATCCCTAGAACCTTCTTCTCGTTATATACTGACCTCCTGGCTGCTAAAAAGTAAAAAAGAAATTAAGCGCAAAATAAATAAATAAATAAATAAACGAGTGGAGGATAGGTAACCTCTGACCGGCTATTGCCAGTATTCACCACCTATAAATACCTTAAGCTTCCCTTCTATCATCAATCTTTTATTCACACACCACCACCACCAACTCTTCCATTGCTATTTTCCAGGAAAATTCTCCGGCCAACGTCTCCTTCTCTATTTTCAGCGCTCTTGAAAATCCCGCATTTGTATGGCAGTAAGTTTTCTGAATCGGGAGGTATCAGACCTGTGCCTTGGTAAGCCGGCATTAAAGCCTATTCCGGCAAAAGCCACCGTATCTGAGGCGTTAACGGCGTTGAAAAAATCCGGCGAGACCCATGTAAGCGTTTGGAGCTGTGACCATTCCACGAAGGTTCTAGAAGAAGAAGGTGGGGCTGGGGCTGATTCTGTGTGCCGCTGTGTAGGGAAGATCTCTATGGTAGATGTGATTTGCTTTCTTTCTAAAGAAGAGAATTTGGTTAATCCTTCTAAGGCTCTTGAGACTCCTGTGGCTCAGATTTTGCCTAAAGGAGATTCCATTGTTAGGCATTTGGATCCCAATTCAAGGTTTGTGATTTTTTATTTTTTTTTAATTAATTCGCTAATTGATATGAATTCTTAGATTCTTGAATCGTATAATTAATGACATTTGAGGAGGAAATTGTAGAATGAATTAATATTAAAAGATAATATATGTGTGGATACTGCTAAAAAATATGCTGAAACAAAAAGGAACCTTTTTATAACGCAAGAGTCAATATCCACTTTTTATAATCAATTGACTTGTCTTTTCTGGTTTAATTTATTCAGATTGAATTTGGATCTACTTTTTCAGCATCAAGTGGTGATGATTTATTTATTTCTCTTTTTGCCCTTTTCTGATTTTTAAGAGCCCGTTTGGCCATAATTTTCTTTTTAAATTTTTACTCGAAGATAAAATTTTGTAATTTTTCAAAAATTTGAAAAACTCCAAAAATTAGTCCGATCATTCACAAAATTAAAAATAACCCAAAATTATATTATGTCCAAACACAACTCCACTTTTCAAATACCATTTTTACTTGAAAAAAATTTCCATTTTTTTCGGAATTTTACGATTCTTATGTCCAAACGCTCACTTAGTTTTCTGTTTATGTGAATAACCTTTGGCACATTATTAACCATCTTTTGAGGCCTTGATATATGTGTGGAGCTCATACAATTGATGCTTTGCTAGATATAATTTTGTTGTTGCTATTATTGGCTGGCCCCAAGTCCCCAACTATGTTGCTCCTCAAAAATGTTGTCGCTCTCGTGTCAGACACTCCAAGAAAACATAACTTTTGGAGGATCTAACACGCATATGTCGACATTTTTAGGGATCCGAGCAACATAGGGGCCTGGTTTGAGATGGAGACGTAGTTGATTGATTGATTGATATTATTGGCAGACTTCTCATGTTTCTTTCTTGTTTTGTTTCAGCTTGCTGGAAGCAATAGATTACATTCTTGAAGGTGCCCAGAACCTGGTTATACCAATTCAAAACTACAGGAGCACGCCTTCGAGGAAAAGGCTTTTGAGTAAAGCATCCTCACTGCTTCCCACAAATCATAACGGAGTTGAATACTGCTGGCTAACACAAGAAGACATTGTCCGGTTCCTTCTCAACTCCATTGGAGTCTTCTCTCCTATGCCCACCTTTTCAATCGATTCACTCAACATCATAAATCACGACATCATGACTGTTCGCTACCACAATCCTGCAATCTCTTCCTTGGATGCCATTACTCTCGCTCATATTGAGCAGAGCTCAGTTGCAGTTGTTGATGAAGATAACCGGTTGATTGGCGAAATCTCTCCCTTCACTCTGGCCTATTGTGATGAAACTGTTGCAGCTGCAATCGCGACCCTTTCAGCTGGTGATCTCATGGCATACATTGACTATGGTGGTCCTGCAGAGGATTTAGTCGAGTTAGTCAAAACGAGGCTTCAAGATAAGAAACTCAAGGCAATGGTGGAACTATTAGATGAAGAGTTTTCACTGTCTTCATCGTCATCTTCTGCTTCGAGTTGTTCATCAGACGATGAATCTGGCTCGAGTAGAAATACTGTGCTGGGGCGATTTTCTTCAGCTAGAAGGTCTGAGGCGATTACTTGTTATCCATGGAGTTCGTTGGTGGCTGTGATGATTCAAGCTCTTGCACATCGTGCTAATTCTATTTGGGTCATGGATGCAGATCATAATTTGATTGGAGTTGTAACATTTAAAGGAATTCTGGAAGTTTTCAGGAGTATTGCTAATGCGAGGCGTAAACCAGAAAGGGAAAATACATCAAAGCAATAATAAACAGCATATTGCCATATTAATTGTGTTAAATTTCTTTGAAATGGGACTATGTTTTGCATAAATTTTGTCTGAATGAACAGAAGGCTTATTGGTGGTGATTGAAAATATTGTGTTTGAACTATTATCATTTCTCTTTTTTTCCTTTTTGGGAAAAATCTATCAGTATTATAGCCTGTTTGGCCAAGCTTCTCAAGGGGAAAAAAACACTTTTTTTCCAAAAGCACTTTTTTTCCAAAAGTACTTTTGTTTTCCTAATTTGAGGTGTTTGACCAAGCTTATTTGGGAAAAAAAAGTGTTTTTGGGAAGAAGCAGAAGCAGTTTCAGAGAATCAGAAAAAAGTAGTTTCTTTCCAAAAGCAGAAGCAGTTTTGACTTTTCTTCTTACCTAAAATACCCTTAACAAAATATAGTATATACCTCAATAACTGTTAAACCTAATACTTAGGATATTAATGTATAAGTATTTCTTCATATATATATATAGTGACTTTAGGGGTGAATGCTTCTATAATTTTAATATATTTAACTTACATTAAAAAAAATTAAGTACTTTTTAATTTTATTTTCATACTTTTCTTAAATAAGATGAAAAGATTTATTTATTGCCTGTAATAAAAAATATTTAAGATTATTTATTTACTTATAATATTAACTATTAAGTAAATCTATTCATGTCCTTATTTGTAATTTCATACTTAAAAGCACTTCTAAAAAGTTTGGCCACACACAAATTAATTGCTCAAAAGTGCTTTTTAGAGTGATTAGTCAAACACAAACTGTTTCTCTCCAAAAGTACTTTTTTCAAAAGCACTTTTGAAAAAAGCACTTCTCAAAATAAGTTGATTTCTCCCGCTTGGCCGAACATGCTATTAGTGCAAGCAGAAAAACCTATGATTGGAAGAAGAAATTTTAAAAATGTGTTGGCAATAATGGTTACTATATCCTTGTCTATCCTACTAAAAATCATTTTTAAAATTTCTACTAATTAGGCTAATAATCGTTACTATGTCCATGTCTATCCTAAAAATAATTTTTTATTAAATAACGGATAACTCTTAATATCAATTTTGATATAATAACTTGTATATTAGAGTAATAACAAGTTTTAACCAATTAAATCGCAACAGTAGATATACCGTCAATATGCATACTTAAATCCGTTGAAGAATAACTTGATAATTGTAGAAACAAACTGAATCAACATAATCCGTTGATTTAGAATTGAAATTCCAATACTTTGCTCTTATATAATTACTCATTTACAGGGGTAAATAGGGACAAAATCATAAAAAGCTTTCAATCCTCAATTTTCTTATTAGAGAAAGAAATTATCAGGAAGAGACAGAAAGGTACTACAAAATATGCTGCAATTTTTACCAATTCTTCACTCTCCTTTGATATCACTCCAATTCTTGACCAATCTCCACTATACCTGAAATATTAAATAAAAATTAGAGGGAAAACAAGAAAAGGGAGAAGAATAACAACGATGACGACAACAACAACAACCCAGCATAATTTCACTAGTGGGGTTTGGGGAGGGTAATGTGTACGCAGACCTTATCCCTACCCTGGGGTAGAGAGGTTGTTTCCAATAAACCACCGGCATCTTTCCCTCCAAGTAACTCCCTACCTTGCTCTTGGGGTGACTCGAACTCACAACCTCTTGGTTGGAAGTGGAGGGTGCTTACCATCATAACAACGACGACAAATCCAGTGTAATCTCACAAGTGGGGTTGGGAGAGGGTAATGTATACACAGACTTTACTCCTACCCTGTAAAGGTAAAGAAGTTGTTTCTGAATTCTGATAGACTCTCGACTCAAAGAACAGTAAAAAGGAAGCAACACACCATAGCGACATCAAGGCAATAAGATAAAGGCGAACGACACAACAAGTAATTAAAAAAAGAGGTTTTTTTTTTGTAGCATCTTAAAATGTATTATAAGTAGGCGTTTGGACGTAAAAATTGTAACTTTTTTTAAAAAAAGTCTTATTTGGAGTTAAGTTGAAAAATAGTATTTAGAATTTGAAATTATGTTTGGACATGCATTTTGTGAGTAGAGAAAAGAAATTTTTGAAAATTTCAATTTCAATATTTTTTCAAAATCTTGCAAAACTTCATGGACAAACACAATTTTGAAAAAAAAAATAAAAAAAAAGAAATTTTTAATATGGACAAATGGGTCCTTAAATGTGAAGAAATATGAAAATAAAGTTCAAAAATTATGAACAATTACCCTGCATCAATGAATCCTAGAGCAAAGACTCCAACAGCAGCTTGAGCAAGAAAATTTCTGGGAATTTTCAGAGAGAGAAATGAGTTTTCTTGGCCTGTTGAATTTTCAGAAATTTCTCTCTTTTTTGAAAATGAAATTGTTGCATGTTTAGTTCTGTTTCTATATTTCAGAAAGAGAAAAGAAAAATTAGCAGAAGAATAGCAATTGGCAAAGTTTTGTGTGAACAACATTTTCTTATCACAACAAATGACAATTGGCAGAAATGCACAAGTTATCCTATCTACATCTCATTTTTTATGTGTGGCTACAAAGAGTTCATTGCTTATCAAGAAAAGTTTGAGAAAATAGCCAAATATGGTCATTTTCACAAGATAATAGGAATAGACAAATCTGGTCATTTTCACAAAGATGATAACAATGAACTGTTCCTTTCAATTGAATTCTTGTGGTTGTTCCAAAGACAGTATTTTCAGTTGAAAATAGGTATATTCCAAGGGCTCATGGCCTATAATAATATGAGTCAAAGACCCAAAGTCCTAGAGAAGGCATCAACATTATTAAGACATGAATTTTAGTTTAGAAGAATAGTATATGAAAGCTGAAATTTTTTAAGTGAAATCATTATTTTACTTAAAATACTATTCACACCAAAAAAGGGTAGTTCGATGCATGACACATTTCACGTTCACGCAAGGTTTGGTGAAGGACCGTACCTCATGAGGTGTGATGTAGACAGTCTAACCTAATGCAAGCATCAGTCACTAATTTTACGACTCGAATCGTGACCTATAGGTCACACAGAGACAACTTTACCAATGTTCCAAGATAATCCTCCAGGCCAATATTTTAATATTTCGCAAGTATTTCAAATATCGAAGTTCAATATTATTTGCAAATATTAATAGCTAAACAAATATTGGCAAATATTGAAGTTTAGTATGTGAAATATTAAAATAATATTTGATGTCCAAATGTGCTAAGGCAGTATGAATTGATGGTATCTTCAAAAGGAGAAATATTATAGAGAGAAATAAGAGAAATCTCTATTTCAAACTCGGAAATCATACAACAACACGAGAGGTGTATCTTTTTGGGTATTATCGTTTTTAGTCCGCCTCAAAAACTATTTATATTCGGTGGCTGAAAAAGTATAAAACTTGTATAATTTTATATATTTTTCGGCTATTATTTTTACAGCGGCTATATAATGTCATTTTTCCTATTTTTTTAATCTCTTCCTATTTTCTTCTTTTTGAGTATGTTGATATTGTTAGATTAATAATTTCGTTTAACTTTAACTTGATACATGCACAAGTGTATATATTTCAATAGCTCATCTTTATACTAGAGCAAGCTAACTAATATTTGGGATTTTTTCATTCCTATACACTATTGGAAATTTTATTACCCTAAATGTTCATGTTTAGTAAATTACCCTACCTACACAAGTTTTGTTTACAAAATATATACATTATACTTTAAAATGCTCTCAATCCATTATTAGTGCCTTCAATTAAAGGATTTAGTTACACCATTTTCCTTTTTTTCTCCTCTTCTCTTTCCATATTTTTCCTCCGCCTTAAAATACAGTAATCTTCCTATATATATTGTTTCTGTTTGAGTAATCTTCCTATATACATTGTAGATATGTAATGAGATTTTGAGATGGTCATTTCTTATCTTGTCCAATTTATTAGTGGCAAAGCATAAATGATTCGAATGACAGAAATAAGTATTCACCGAAAAATAAGAGAAACTAAAGAATAATGCATCCAAGGCGCCAAATCTTATGGATATTTAAATGCTGCTAACCTAGAGGCTCGTTGTATAACGGTAAAAATAGATGTAGCAGGCATGAAAAGTGAGGTTACTTTTAAATACCAATATACTCAATTTTGTATTTCCTTTAGACCCGATTGTTCGGAACAAAGGTGGATCTATTTTATTTTTACACTTTATTTTGTTAAAACTTGTGTCTTTTTTCTTATTACCCATTAATGAAATTAGCATTTAGATCTTAGACCATCCAATTTTGACACTGAGTGCTAGTTATAAGCCTCAGCAAAAATAAATAAGGTTATTTCAGATGATATTAGGATAAGAAATTAAAGTGATTGATAACATTGGTTTGACACTTTGACTAATTGCAGCAACAACTAAGGAGCTTACCTAATTTCTGCAATTGGCAAGCTTGAGACACTATAAATTAAGAATATAAGTCGAGCTTTTAAATATAAGCCATGACTCAAACAGAAACAATATATATGATAAGTCAGATTCTAGATTAATGATATATAACTTATCTACAACTTTCATATATTATTTTTATCAAGTTAAATACAACTACAATAACATACAACTTAAATATAAATTTTATATAATATGTCTTTTGTATATTTTGTATCTGATTTATACATAGTAAAAAAAAATTCATACAACTAATTATATATTATACAACTTATCTATAATTTTCATACATTATTTCTACTCAGTTATATACAACTACGATATCATACAACTTATATATAATTTTTATACAATGTTGTTCAACTTTCATACAATAGTTAAATAAATAAAAAAATATATATAAACAACAAAATATAATTTTTCTACAATTTTACTTTAAATTTCTGCAGTATAATATATGTCATGTCGTCTTCTTCTTCTTCTTTGAGTTTCAATCTGAAATTCAGCCAAAACCAAGTCTAATCTTCATCAAAACCCCTCAAAATTGAGATATAAACTCCAAATCATATTCTCAATTATTTGCAACAACACTCAATCCAAACAAATAATGATTTTTGAAAACCCAAATTCAAATTCAAAGCTTCAAAGCTTTTTAATGGCTGTCAATGGTGGAATTGTTGCTCTCTTTTTCTTTGCTTTACATTACTGAAATTTGGGATTGAGAGATAGAGAGAGACGTAGAGAGAATTCTCAATTCTTTGCAATAACATCCAATCCAAACAAACTATGTTTTTTGAAAATCCAAATTCTAATTCAAAGTTTCAAAGTTTTTAATGGTTGTCAATGGTGAAATTGCTACTCTCTTGTGCAAGATACGTGGGGATGGGGGTGGTATGTGGAGAGAAAACATGGAGGAGTGGAAGATATGTTAGAGTAATTTTAGGGCATTAATTATTATCATTAATTCCCTTAAAATATACATAAATAATAATTGGGTATATAAAATGTAATTATAGTAAAATTTGAGTAGGGAGGGTAATATAGTTTCATATAGTGTATAGGAATGTAAAAATTCTGTAATATTTTAATATTCGCTAAATCAAGATATAGTAGTTATAATTAGAGAAAATTATCCTCTATAGCCCCTCAAAATTTTAATAGCTCATGTTTTTACCCATTTACACGAAATAGCCTTTCGGCCCAATTTATTTGCAACTTGTAGCCATTATCTATTTTCAATGCATTTATCTTCCCAAGACAACATTTAATCCTACTTTTTTTATCTTTCTTTCATTCTATCCAATGCACGACTTTTTATCTTTCTTTCATTCTATCCAATGTACAAATTTTTTTTCCATTACCATTTTTATTCATATCCTCTTTTTTTCTCTGTGTCTTCTTTGTCTTCCTTTTATCTTTTTTTTTGGTTATTTTTTTTTTCATTTTCCTTCCTTCTCTATCTCCCATTTCAGATTTATATTTTTTCTCTTTATGTTTTTTACTTCTCACTGAAAAAATTTGTTTGAGTACCTAGAAAAATCATAAATTTTTTAATTCAATTTATTAAAAAAATTTACTCAATTACGATGCATGATACAAGAGTGGCAGCAAAAGTCATGGGGTTTTCTAGTCAAGCTTCTTCTTCTCAAGCTTCTCAAGCTGCTTCTTCTCTAGTCATGGATCTTCTTCTTCTTCTTCTTCTTCTTCTTCTTCTTCTTCTTCTTCTTCTTCTTCTTGTTTTATGAGTGAAAAACTTTTACAGTGAGTATCGATGGTGGGTCTGGATTTTATGAGTGAAAAACTTTTACAAAGTACCCATTTTTTGCTTTACCCAAAATATCCTTAATAACATACTAGCAACAATTGAGTTAAAGGGGCTCTTTTGTCTTTTCGAGCATCCAGTTTTGTTCTTCCCCTTCACACTCGGTGTTTCTCTAAGTAAAAAGGATCCAAACTTTAATTTCCTTTGCCCTTTGCAGATTTCAACCTATTTTCTTAGCTTCAATGCCTTCTTGATGGATTGTAAATTGTGTCTTCAAACTGATATTCTTCCATCTGTTAAACCAATATTATTTCAACTCAAGAGCATAAATTTCTTGGTAAATAAAACTATGCACGCAATAATCTTTAACTCCACAAGAAGCTCTGAGAAAACTAATGTATCATTAGTGTATATTCATTGTATACTGATAGTCGGTTTTGTATATATTTTGTATAGCGATAGTGTATTTTGTATATAAATTGTACAAAAACAGTCTATTTTGTATAGTGACATTCTTACTTAGTATATCTTTTATATAATGAAAGTCTATTTGTATATATTTTGTATAGTGAAGACTATCCATGAGATAAAAAATTAAAGAGAATTGAGACCTAAAGTTAGACTATGCATTAGTTTCTGCCATCTTTGTTTCTCCCGCAAAATGCAATAAATCAAAAACCTTCAGCTCCATTACCGCTGTTATGGCCACAACGGCACAAAGAAACCTCTCAATTTTCTACACTAGAAGACACTTCACCGTCATCAGAGCCAAAGTCGCCGGAATGAGGTCTCCGTCAGCATCGAAGATTGGAAACTTACTCGTCGTCGCTTCAATTACAAAAACTTTGACAGCACCAGGAGGAAAAAGTAACCTAGAAAAATACAACGATTCAATTCCCTATCAGAAACCCTAGACCTCCAAATCCTCCTGGCTTTAGGTATGTATAATACGACGGCATTGAAATACTCAAATATTTATGCTTCTTATCTTAGATTTCATTTTTCTATTTTGGAACTTGAGTTGGAATTGGAGAAGAACGATTTTTGGATGAAGAACGGAAGTTTGTAAAGATGGGGTTTGAAATATAAGGAAGGATCGTGTTTCGGTGATAGTTGGGTCGGTGGCTAGCCTTTTAATTTGTTTTGGGCTATAAAATGCATACTGCAATTTTGTGACTAGCGGCTGATATTAGTTTCCAGTGGCTGGCCATAAATGAAGTTTTTTCTTATAATTACTATTCTTTTCTTAGCTCAATAATTTTCTTGAAAAAAGAACAAGAAGAAAATTTGTAAAAAAAAAAAAAAAAAAAAA